AAGTAATATTTGCGCCTACAGGCCGAACAAGAACATTAACGAACCCATCCTAGCTCTCAAAATCTATCTCCAGAAATGCTTCAGATACAAACTTCCCATTTAATTTCATTGACTATAGCAAAGCCTTTGACACCGTTAAACACGATGCCCTTTGGGAGGCTCTGGAAGAATATAATGTTGATCAAAACATAATCAAAATCTTGAAATATCGTTACAACAATTCTTGGGCCAGGTTACAGCTAGGCCGTACTTTCTCTCCTTACTTCAGGATCAGAAGAGGCGTGAAACAAGGGTGCGTTCTATCACTTATTCTTTTCAACATAATCATACACAAAATCATATAAGAAACCACGAGCACCATGAACCTAGTCGATCTTTCATCAAACAATATCAATCATCTAAGAATCATCTCGTACGCATATGACCTGGTTTTAATTATCAAGTCAAGAGATGAGACAATAGACTTACTTTCCACAGCAACAAAGTCGGCTTAACCATCAACTTCAATAAAACTTTTATCATGCCATTCCCAGAGATGTCTATAAATAACTTAACATTTCAGGGGAATGAAATCAAAATAGTTAATAATTATAAATATCTTGGCGTGCTTATTGATAATAAAGGAAACATCAGCGGCGAAATCGAAGCCAGACTAAAAAATGCCAAAATAACCTTCATGAAATATCATAAACTATGGACAGCCAGAGAGATCTCAGTCAAAACGAGACTCCGAATATTTAACGCTACAGTCATTCCAGTCCTCCACTATGGCAGCGACACTTGGGAAATAAATAAATCCCAGACAAAGAAAATACAGGTTTTCGTAAACCGTTGTCTGCGCCAGCTCAACGGCATCTTCTATCCAAGATTAATTTCAAATGCCAGCCTATGGCGAATCTCAAAAAAAGTCCCGATCGAGACTACTCTCAAAAAAAAGACACATCCAACTCTTTGGTCATACCATCAGAAACTTCAGACATAACATAGTTCATAAGGCTATAATCTGGAGTCTCATGAAGGAAAAATCTATGGTAAATACAAGTCATATTGGCTGTACAGAACGATAAAAGAAGTCATAAGTCTAAATCTGATGATGAATTCATACGTCTAAACAATAATAAAGGCTCAATAAAAAAGCTTCTAAAAATCAAATACAGCTACCTATACCCTCCAAATCTCTCAGCCCCCCCCCTAAGCATGAGCACCACCTTCCTCCCACCATGGTAAATATACATTTATTTATTTATAAAACTGCTAATGTACCTAACCTTGATATAGCTATCCAAAACATACTTAACTTATGCTATCACCCCTCTAAGCTAATATTCTTAAGTAGTAAGGCAGTTTTATTAACAAAATATATCATATTTATATTAAATAAACAAATATATAGACCATAAACTTAAAATCAACCAATACCCCTCCCTATAATATACATTTTACTTAATCGGGTACGGGCTTTTCTCTCTTATCTCCTGTAGGGGTTTAAGCAAGTGGTTTTGCCTCTTGCGCGCACAGGTAACTGCAGCCTGCCCAAAAAATTGTGGATGGGTTCATCTCATGGCTACCCCCAAATTTCTTAACCCAATTAGATGAAACGAGATAGTACAAGCGTAGCTCTGCTGTTTCATATAGCGATCGCTTATTATGACGTATCAAGGTATGTAAAACGCCTACAAAGTTTCATGATTTTATAATTAATACTATAGTAATATATATTAATTTTCTGTATATCGTTTTGTGGCTCTAAGTTAATATAATAGAAAATATATATATTAACTATCTTTTTGTTAAATAATATATACTAAATTGATTTAATATAATTTATTTTCTTGTTGAAATAATATTCAAATGTCTTTTACCAATACTTTCACTGAAATATATACTTAAAAATTGTGATAAACATGATTATTTTATTATTTAAATAAATATCTTGAATTCTTATCTAACTCTATTATTAAATTCTGAGCTAATTCTTACATGGTGGAGGATAGAAATTACAAAGGTGGGAAAAATAGTGACTTTCAAATCTTTAAAATGCTTATATCTCAAAAACTATTTATAGTAAAAATAAATATAATATATTATATTATAGGTAAAAGAAAATCTCTAACGGTTTATGAAAAGAGGAAAAATTGATGCCACTTTGAGTCTTTAACTTTCGGCTTACCTACATTGCCTTAGCCATGTTTTTAAGAAATAAAGGGAGTTGGTTTTCGAAATTTTTTTTTGCCATTTATAAATATATATGTGAAAACCTTGGCGACGTTATCGGCTCTTCCGAAATATGCATTTTTATCAAAAATTAAAAATTTCATATGCAAAAAAATATATGGCGCTATATGAAACTAGATATTATGGTTAAAATTTTGTTGCTAATTTGCCAACATATTTTTAATTTTTATCTTAAAATATTTTGGATTTCTGGGCCATCCATGTCAAATCGATCAAAAAGACTCAGTTTCGGCCGAACCCTTTAAAATTGTTAAAAACTGCTGGAATTATTTAGATTGGTAAAATTAAAATAAGAATACCGTTTATTTTAACTCTCTAGCACGCCTGGTTCCCGAGATAAAGAGCCTCAAAGGTGCGAAAAATGAAAATTCTCAAATTGTTTATATCTCAAAAACTTTTTAAGGCATGAATTCTATTAAAATGAAAAATATATCGTAGGCAGATTTTGCTGAAAATGATGCCTTTGTGGTTCAAGATGAAGTACGAGGATTTTGCTTAAATAAAGCGCAAGTTACCACTCATCTGTTTGTGATAAATTAGAAGACAATAAAAAAATTTAAATCATTTAAATTACGTAATTACTAAAATCTCTCATTCGTAATACAATTGCCATTCACTTATTCTAAAAATATTTAGTCCACTACTTAACAGAGAAGTTTAAAGGCGCCCAAAAAAATTCTTTCTTCTACTTTTCAGATGGAGCAACATCACAAAATAAGAATCGCAAAAATATAATCAATCTTTGCCACCATATAGATGATTTAGGAATAAAGACTGGGTAGCTGAGCCATATTTCATGGCAAATCGGCATCTGATGGAGATGGAGATACAGTCAAACGTAGTGGTCATGGTTAGTTTACAAAGGCCTGTTTCAGAACAAATAACTTGTCATGATATTTCTAATTTATTAATAATATTAATTATTCATTGAGGAATAGATTTTTCTTATATTATGGAAGAAGAATATGAGAAAGAGTAAATAATTTTAGAATAAAAATATATAAAGTGCTTACAATATCAGGCAGGAACACAAAAATTTGATATTTTTATCCAATTTCCCAGGTTAAAATTGAAGTTGAATTTAATTTAAATTCAACAGAATCGCAAATATTAAAAACTTTTCACTGAAATATTAATGCGAATTAAATATATAAAAAAATAAATGATATATAAAATGTATCTGACAATCAATGGTTATCTTTAATAAGAATGAATAAAAAATTATATGAAAAATATTTATTAATGGAAATTTGATATATTACGATGTCTAGGGGGCATTTGCCATACTATCCCTGAGTTTAATTGGGAATAGAAATTCGAAATGTTATTGGTAGATTAACAACAAAATGTTAACAATGTAGTTTAGTATAGATCTATTTTATGCAAATAAATTTCAATTTTGCATATTTCAGAAGAGCCAATAGCGGTATATATATTTATAAAAAGTGCCTAAATAAAAGACTTTTTTTTTCGAAAACCAACTCCTTTTATTGCTTAAAAACAAGGGTATATATTGGTAAACCGGAAGTTAAAGACTCAAATTGGCGCCTAATTTTTTCTTCTTTCGATAGGCCTTTAGAGATTTTTTTACCCTATAATTTAATATACTATATTTATTTTTACTATAAATAGTTTTTCAGATATGAGCATTTTAAAAATTTTACAGATTCAAAAGTAATTATTTTTCGCACTTTGAGGCCCTATATTTTGGTAACCAGGTGCTAACTAGCTAAAATAAACGGCTTCTCATTTATTAACCTATCTAAACAATTCCAGAAATTATTAACAATTTTAAAAGGGGTCGGCCAAAAATGTGTCTTTCTTGATCGATTAAATATGGAATGATCCAAAGTAAAATTTTGAACATGATTGGTTCAATTTTTAAGTGCACAATTTACAATTCTAGGGGTAGTAAATTTTATTTACATACATATGGCATTGCACTATAAATGAATATTTTTATTCATTTTGTGCAAGTAATTCAAATAAATTTCATTTGAATGAGTTATATAAATTTCACTTGAATGAATTAAACAAAATTAAAATATATTTGATTTGTCAAATAAAATTGGATTTATTTGTATTTGTATAATATTTTACTATAATTATCATATTTAATATGACTTATGGTAAAAGATGAACAAATTTAAAAGGAACATAATAGTTATTTGTAATTGCAGTTTTAAAAGCACTCTGGTTGAGGGATCGCAATTTAGTGATTTTAAAGGGTGCTATATTGTCATCATTGATATTTTTTATAATAGGTTGATTCTTAAACATTAATTTAATCAAAAATGTCATCAAGAATCCATCTGTCACATCATTGCTCTTGAATGCACAATGTTCAAGGTTTAAAATTCCATATAATTTATAAAAATAGGGTTGGGTGTTAGCATCAAATATATCCTATTTTAGCTAAATATATAATAAAATTTACAAAATATACTTCAACATAGTTTCGCAAAATCATTTCAGATGTAAATATATATTGATATATATAATAAAGAGGTAAATTATCTTGATTATCAAATATTATTCTGATATTCGAAGTTCTAAACACATACTAGATATTAATTAATTATAGTTATACTTTTTTATATAACAAAGAATTATAAGCTGAATAGTTAATTGTTTGTGAGGCTTCAAAATTGGGTTTATAATGTTATTTGACTTTTTATTTAAGTTTTGCACATATGGCAATTGGAGTATAGATTTAAGATCATTGTATCTAGATAATCATTTTAGAAAAAAAATTAACAAATCACCTTAAGTTAATTTTATCTTGATAAATATCAGTTATAGAAAACCAGTCAGCTTTAAGAGAATGTTTATTGGGATATGTTTTTAGGGTACCACCTAAGATAAAGTTAAAGAATGAAATTTATTTTAAAGACCTTGAGGTGAACAGTGAAATATACATCGAAACCACTTTCCTTTATCACATTCTACACTTATTAAAGATATAGGATGACATTTTATACCAGTTTCTTCAAGAGTTTCCCGACATGCACCTACCTTTAAAATTATGAGTTTGATTGCTATATACAATATTTACGCCTAAATTTTCTCTGTAAGTAAGTTTGCCTCCAGGAATATACCATTTCCCTGTAAATGGATATTTAATTTCTTGCAACAAAAGAATACGATCATCTTCAACAATTAAGGCACATACAATGTATGAGATATTTTGGCGAAGCTTTAATTTTGGATCTTTCCAATAATTATAAACTTAAATCAAAACTCTTAATATACTTCTCTCATTTAGTTTTATAGTGCGAATCTTGTTTTTAATAAATTCATTTATTTCTGCTTTATAGGGCATAAATAAATGATAAACAATATTGTCTTCAAAACTCAAAAAATATTGAAAACGTTAAGAAAATGGCACTGCCATAAATATTTATAACGTGTATACCGTCATCTGTCGCGTGACTTTCCAGATGTATTGTATAGTTTTGTTTTTAAAAATAGAATAAATTACTGTCATTCTAATTGTAAACTTTAAAAACTAATTTTTTCCTGTAATTTAAATTTCAAAAAAGTTTCATCACCTTCTTTGTCTATTATATTATTATTTGTTTCTGCACTTATAATTTCCTAATTGCGTTAATACACTTTTGGATTCAAACCAGTACACTGTTATGGAGGAATTATTCGCAGGAAAGTTACAAATAGCTTCATTAAATATAAATGGATTAAATAATAAATTGGCGGTTCTATTAAGATTGTTGAAAGCAGAAGGAGTAGATTTAATAGGCATCCAGGAAACTCATTGCCCAGGTAACAGTATGGCATATTTTAGTGTATATAAGATGTTTTGTTCGGGAATCACTTCAAATAGTTGGGCCGGAATCGCCTTTTTGACTAAGAAACGTTTACATAAATACATTATAAAATTTGTACCTGTGTCGGAGAGATGTGGACTCCTATATCTGAATACCAAGTTTAGACCCACTATTGTTGTGAATTTTTATGCCCCACCTAATAGGAACATGAGGAAAATTTTTTTGGACGTAATGATAAATATATTAAACTCTCTCTCAAATAGATATAACGTAATAATCCTGGGTGATCTCAATATGAAAATAGGAAAAGACAGTGAATATATCAGTAGAGTTATTGGGCAAGCTGCCATTCAACAATCTAATGATGTAGACAGCATAAAGTTCCTAGATTACTGCAGTAACAAACTTTAAGGTAGAAAATACTTTTTTCTGCCATCGTGATATCAACAAATATACCTTTGTGAGGGGCAGACAGATATCTCAAATTGACTTCTTTATTTCTAATATTCATAGTTGGTTTGTGGATGTTAAAGCATCTACAAGGGTCAACATATCTGATCATAAGATGGTTATTGCAGTTATAAAAATAAAAAATATCTGGGGATACCATAATAATAGTATTCCTAACTTAATGGCCATTAATGTTACCTCGTCCAATATAATTTTTCCACGTAAATCAAATAAGTTTCTATTGCAAGGAAACAAAACTCTCTTTGAACAATCCCTTATTTCGAAAAAAGGAACCTTTATTAATGTTACCAGAAATGGAAACGTTGAAGATTGTTGGGTACTTTTTAAGAAAGAACTAGCGGAATCTTATGAGAGACTGCCAAACGTAAATCTTGTATCTAGGTGGATGTCTGATGAAACTCTTGAGAAGATATATCAACTAAGAATGACGAACAGCTCTAACATTGATTTATGGAAAGACATTAAAAGATTACTACGGAAAGATAGGAGAATTTTTATAGCTAAAAGGGCGGCTGATATTGATAAAGATATGAAAGAAAACTGGATCTATGATGCATATAAAAAATTAAAGTACTTCTGTAAATCCAATTGCTTCGTGAAACTCCCTATGATTGTCTTAGCGAATGGGAAAACCATAACAGACCAAGATGAGCAAATGGCACTGTGGCTGGATTATTATATGTCGATTTTCGACTCCCGCAAGGCTACTCCTTTAACTATCATACAATTATATCCCCGGCTGGTTTCTCTTCAAATGAAATTTCAAACATTATAAAGAAACTACGGAACAATAGAGCTCGGTTTGGATAACATTATTGCTGAATATTTAAAAATATCCCCGAACATAATCTCTTCTTTTCTCCTTGCTCTCTTTAACAAAATTTGGGAAAGTGGGAAAACTCCGACAGAATGAAATAAATCTCTCCTGTGTAACTTCCCGAAAATCAAGGAACCTAAGAAATTCGCGGACTATCGGGCAGTAACTCTGACCTCCTGTGTATCGAAAGTCTTTATGACACTCATCAAGAACAGGATCTTAACTTCCACACCCCATCTTCTTTCTAAATATATCTGCGCATATAGGCCAAATAAAAAAATTTTGGAACCTATTTTATCGCTGAAAATAATTATGCAAAAGTGCTGGAAATACAGGATTCCGTCTTATTACACTTTTATTGATTTTAGTAGGGCCTTCGATAATGTAGACCATAACGCCTTATGGGTAGCACTATCAGAGTGCGGTATCGAACAAAATATTATCTCCATCTTAAGAAATCATTATTCCAAATTAACTTCATGTTTTAAAACAAACGATAAAATATCACCCTCCTTCAAGATAAAAAAGGGAGTAAAACAAGGTTGCACTTTATCACCGCTTCTCTTTAACATCATAATAGATAAAGTCATGAAGGAGGTAAATGCTGCTGCAGACTTGGCTGACTTTGGGTCTAATGAAAATTTTCACTTTGTTAATAAGATCGTTTCGTATGCCGACGATATTGTTGTAATATCAAAAAAATTGAAGAGACTGTAAGTCTGATCTACCTTATCGAAACCATAAGCCTCAGAGTTGGTTTAAAAATTAATTTCAATAAAACGGTTATTCTTTCCTCGCCAAATACACCACCGATTCAAAATCTTTTGGTAGGCGGGAACGTTATCAAAAAAGTAAATAATATCAAATACCTGGGTGTGATGCTCAATAACAAGGGGGAATGCAAAGAAGAAATGAAGATTAGAATGCAAAAAGCCAAAAGAGCGTTCTATATGTACATGAAAATCTGGAAGTCTACGGAAATATCGGTTTTTACGAGGTTGAGGCTATTCAACTCTACTATTATCCCCATTTTATTATATGGAAGTGACATATGGGAAGTTAACAAGACTGACTTAAGACGCATTCAATCCTTTATAAATAATTGTCTGAGAACTATAAATGGTATTTTTTATCCCAGAGTCATCTCTAACTCTAACCTCTGGAGGAAATCTAGCCACACTCCAATAAATATTACGTTAAAAAAACGTCGGATACAGTTCCTAGCCCATATAATAAGGAACTTAGATCACAACCTTGCACATGATGCTATTGTTTGGTTATATACACATAAAGGGAAACAGTATACTAAATATAAATCGTTATGGTATTACAAAGCTATAAAAGACGTGATGGAGCTGAATGTAAACATGAAACAATTTATAAAGCTTAATAATTGCAAAAGGTCTATCAGAAAACTCTTTCGCATCAAAGATAGATATTTCAGATGAAAATTGTTCCTAGGGATCTCTAGTTCACATACCTTTTTCTTAATTTTCTTCTTCGATTTCTCATGTGGATTTATTCCTCTCGAAAGTATTTTTCTTTTTACCTCTAAAATAAATAAACTTACAGTAAAACTTTTTAAGTTAAATTATCCATCTCCCACCTTTAAAGTAATTAATTTTAAAAGCAGTTCTTGGGTATAGGCTATTTTTTGGTCCCGCTCTTTTCCTCTAAGCCTATAGACGTTTTAATAACATTTCTTAGAAATGTTGTGCGTACAAGTACGTGCGGCTTGCCCACAAACGTGTGGAGGGCTCCTCATATTTTTTTTTCTCCCCCAAATTAATAAATTCCAATTAGATGGAAATGAGGAAAACCTAGCGTTCCTCTGTTGTGTATTCAACGTTAGAGGGCGAATGCGCTATATATCACGTATCACGTAATTTAGCCAGATCTTGTTCAAGAGACCCTTCAAAACCTGTTTCTCCTCTAGGTAAAACATAAAACTTTTTAAAAATTTATTATTCTTAAACATTAGTATGAACATATTTATATATTAAAGTTTCAAAAAAAAATATCATATGATTATTTAAATATTCCAATCAAATATTGGAGGAAATTAGTTCATTTTTTTGTGAAATCATCTTAAACATTTTTATATAAATCAGTACGTTATAAAATTTATCACACTATGTTGTATTTATCGCACCATTTACAACGACCTTGACCATTGGCTTTAATTGACATGACTTTTCTCTACCTTTCGGATTGAATCATTTAGGCATTGATTGTCCCGGACGGTATTGCTTTTCAGGTGTATTCCTCATTATAGATCCCACTATAAATATTTTGAATAGGAGATGAGATATATTTCGAGTCGAAGATATATGTACCCTCGGCTACAACCCGTAAATTGAGTTTAGGAAAAAGGCACCAGGACCAATCTTTTTGCTGCGCAGTCGGGAACGATAGCCTCTTAAAATCTATCAAATTAATTAATTCATCTCATACATTCTGAGGGAATAATATTGATTGATCGATATTAAAATAAACCTTGTGCTAAGAACTCCATCGCTTGTCTTTATTTAGATGATATTTTCCTTAATGCTAGCTCACCACTCCTACTGGACGCCTATCATTTTACACAAAGCAATATTTTTATTAATGATGGCTTCATAATACTTCTATGACTTTCATTAATGTTTGGACAAAGAACATTTTTCGATTTATGCGGATTGTTCCTGCATAACCTAGATCTTTTCTTGTAACATTCTTCATAAATTTGTGGATGTAAAAAAAAAATTATCTAAGAATAGTGTAGGTTCTTAAATGCTAGAAATAATTTTTAATTATCTCAGGACTCCATCACCAAAATGACTAGTTTTATTGTTACCCTTCCTTTTATAACTATCAAAATTAAAGGAATATGGACAAGGTGAAATAAAATCCAACTTTTACACCAAATTTTACTGGCTTTCCTGTCATCTACATTTTTATGATTTTATTTCCTTAATTGAAGATCATTTGTTTATCCAGACTTAAATTTTTTTTTGACTATCTCAAATTTGAAAATGGCCTAACCTTCGCTTATTTATTAGTTATCAATATTGAAATTGTTTGCCAGATGTAGGAGATAATATCCTAATAAACCAAATGCTAATTTATAGCTCTTTAAAATATTAACCTCAGAGGTGCTCATTTCCCAAAGATATAAAGCAAAATATTTTTAAGTTCCATTTTTTAAACATTGGTAAATAGCAGACTAATAATGTGTCAAGGCATTTTTAAATTATAAAATTTTTGTCAACTATTAAAAATCTAAAAAATAATTATTATAAAAAATTGAAATTTAAATATCGCTATTTGCCAATGTTTATAAAAATGAATCTTAAATATATTTTGCCTTATATTTTTGAGAAATGAGCACCTTTCAGACTAATATTTTAAAGAGCTATAAATTAGCATCTGGTTTATTAGAATAAATTTTTTTTTGAATTAAAATTTTATCACTAATTTTTTTAAAGTATTTTATGCTCGAAAAAAATCATAAAATCTGGAAATTTATGCAAATTTAAAAAGCCAATAAATTTAACAAAACGAGTTCAAAAATTTGTGTTTGCATATTTAGAAATAAAAAAATATGGCGAGACAGGCCACACCTTTTTTAATTTAGATATTATAAAACATGGGAATTATTCAACGCCAAAGTTGATGTTCCAAAAATTAAAAATTAGAGATCAATGTTAAATTTACAATGCGTAGTAAATCAAATTATGAGCATTAGCAATCAAATCAATAAATATCTTTAAAAAAATTATAATACATATGAAACATAATAATAATATGTGAAAACCTTTATGAATTACAACAACTTTATCTGTGGGGTAGGAACAGTTTGTATCCTATTTTTTTGAGGGGGTAGGGGGTAAGCTGCTTTAATGGGGTAGGATAAATTTTTTTGGGGGTTATCTATTAAATTTTGAGATAAAATAGGACAAAATTTATTGCTGTAAAAATTGATACTTTTATTTTAGTATTATTATAATACAATTCATCGACCAAATCTATATATTGCAAACAATCATACACATTGTTTTCCAAATAAACTATCCTTTTAAATGTAATTTAAAAGGTTTAGATATTTCAGCAAGCTCATAATGGCATAATAATTAGTATATAATAGAGGTTTTAATTGAATTTATTTTCTAAAAAATAAATTTTTTATATTCACAAAATATCGATAGTTGGTAGTAGAGATAGGTTAATTTAAGTTATCCTTTTTATTTTCTTTGAAAAGAGTATCAATAAATAAAAAATAATGATAAAGACACACCGCCGCCGAAGGTGGTGGAAATTTTTCAGGGGGGTAGGCAAAGGTTTTTGAAGGGGGTTTACATCCAGTGAAAATCCTGTCATGTAGACGCTCTCTGTATATAAGCAAGAGTATATTGCAAGGGACACCACGAGGGGCTAAGCTCTCGCGAATTTATTTTTGATTTCTAGACCCATTTCTATGAAGAGGTTCTGAATCCCTAGGCCAAAAAAAATTAATTTTTTTCAAAAGTGTTAAAATTAAATCCCCCTTTTATATATTATTGTTATGAAAATTAAATTTAGTCAAAATCTTTTTAATATTAATTTTATAGCCATCTAGTGAATAGAGAAACTAGATTTAAACCTAAAGTATAGCCTAATCTTGAAAAAAATATACGCTTGCCTCAGGGTTTAACGAATTTTATAAACTGTTATTATTGAAACGATTTAACAACAGTAAGGGCAAGAAATAATGCAAATATAACAAAATCATTTTTATTATCAAAGGACACGATATTTACTCACCTATTATGCTATAACTAACCCCTGATTTTAATTTAAAGAATTAATAACTTCCAAATAATTCTAATTAAACTCCTTCATGCCTCATGATAATACTAAAATGTTATTTATGAATGAATAGGAAATAATTATCTATTAATATATTAATTTTTTTTATCAATTATTTTTATCTTAATCTATAAATAATGTTATTTTCTCAACCTCACTATGATGCCTACCCCACTCCCTACTCAAAAAAAAATTAAAGCAAATTACCCACATTTTCAAGTATATGCTATATGTATGTAAATATTTACAGATGTCCCTCAATTTAGAAATTTCACTTTATTTAAAAATATACCATTAAAAAAATCCAAAACTTACAAAAAAAATAAAATATACCTACTCTAGAAAGTACGCGCGCTCCCTTTAATGGATAGCTTTGAAAATGATGGTAAAAGATTTAAATAAATTTAAATCGAATTATCTTTTTTATTTTAGAAATTCTTTCCGATATATTCATTATGGCCTGAGAATTTAGGCGAAATTTGGTGAGAAGCAAAAAAATCTACCAAATATCAAATTAAATGAATATGAAACATTGCTGAGCTTCGACAATACATCTGAAAATATATCCAATAATAAATTTAAAAATTTCTTAATTCTGTGAATACCTTATCCTGTAGTACTGCCGAGTGCGAAAGTGGCTTTCATCTTATGATAATTTGTCAAATGGTTCATTAATATTAATATACCTTCGATATCAGAATGGATTCCATATCCATGTATCAAAATATGAAAATGAATCATCGCGGGAGGATGAAATCTTTTCAGAGAAAAATACAGCTCAAAGAAAACGAAGAAATAAAAGATGCATGGAATTTATTAAAATTCATATTTATATATTTTTTAATTTCTATAGATATCAATATAAGTGGTATTTTTTGACCTTATTTTTAAAATATAATATATAGTAGAAAACCCGTCAAAAATGACGGGGAATGAGATTTTTATTCATTTTTTTACGATAGATGTCATGCCAGATCGCTCAGATTAGGATAGAGAACTGCACGGGCTGTCCGTAGCCCGACCCGAAAATAAATAATAATATTAATATCTTAAATAGTCAGTATAATTTATAATATTAATTATAAAATCATATTATTTAATATTTATCACATTTTAGGATTAAAATGTCAATCATATTAACATGTCATGTCATTATTAATTATTATTTTATAAACCTAACAACCGGGATACCAAACTATTTTATCACTAAATTGTGTGTTTCCCGTGAATTACAAGATAAGACATATTTTATGTACTAAAGATAAGTTTTATTCATTATTTATTATTTATCTAGCCTATACATTGTCTTTTTTAACATTTGTTTTAAAAAATTTCCATATAAGATTTAAGATTGGGATTTGATTCAGGGGAACTTATTTCTATAATTTAAATTTCACTACCATAAATGTTAATCATCCTAGAAATTAAAAAATATTATATAAAATTGGTAATGATATTCTAAGTTACATTTATATATAAAATATAATCTTTACTTATTTCGTTTTGGTATTATTATTTTTTTATCTATCTACCTTAATATGAGTTGTAAATTTTCCAGCTAATTTTGGTTGTCAATATTTTAAAATATGGCAGAAAAAAATTAGGAAATTAATACAAGATTCTCAAAGAAAATAAGATGTATACTGTGATATGTAAAATTTAAAACATGAATATTACAAAGAATCTGTATCTGTATCTTTTGTCAGGAAAATGAAAAAGATACAAGATTCTTTTCAGAATTAAGGATCTTAGATACAGATATTAGTATCTTATTAAAAATGTCAAAATATACTGAGTACAAGATATAAAGGGATCATGTATCTTAGATACAAGTATTCGCAGTACTGCCCAACTCTGTTTATTTCAATCTAATTGATTAAAGTCATTTTAAATATTTTTTTTAGATTTTAGACACAGCCATATTAAAAAAATTATCTCAATGGATGCAAAATTAAAAAGAATTGGTGAAAAGATTAAGACAAAAGAGTATGAAGTAAGGGAGAATCTTAATGGAAAATCCGATGTATGGAAGAAATTTTCATTTATATATGATGAAAATAAAGAAAAGCTTAATTATGTCATTTGTATTATATGCAAATTTATTTATGTATATAATTCAATGACAACAGGTTAGATATTTATACATAAAATATGATCTTATTAAATTATTTTAGGCACAAATCAACTTAAAAGACATAAATGTGTATATACAAATACAAGTACAACAGCAGAGAGTAAAAAGACGCAATTAACAATTAATAGTCTTTTTGGTACTGATCCGGAAAAACTCAAAAGTTGTACAAAATTGAAAAAGAGTGCACAAAGGTGCTTACTATGTTTTGTGGACGTGATTTGAGATCATTTGATACAATTCATGGGGAAGGCTTTGTTGATTATTGCCAATATTTTGCCAAAATTGGTTCAATATATGGAAATATTGATGTTAAAAGCATCATTCCTAATCCTACGACAATTTCTAGAAATTTAGTAGATACTGCTGATGGTATCCGCAATAAATTATTTCCTATATTAAACTCATATATGAAAAAGGGTCGATGTGCTGGTAACAAATTTATGAAAATATGGTTAAATTATTAATAATTTTTTATAGCCACCACAGACCTTTGGACTGATGATTATAAAAAATATCATATGTAACTCTAAAAATTCATTTTATAAATGATTCCTGGAAACTAAATAAAATTGTATTGTTTACATGCAAATTTGAAGCGGAAAAAAAGACAGGGGAAAATATCAAAAAGGAAATTATTAGAAATTTCACCTTGTTAGGTATTGATTTCATTAAAAATATTTATAAAAATCCATGTATTCTTTGTATCAGGATACAGCAGGGCCTATTTATCGGAAATTCCAATTATTACTGACTAAGGAGCTAATATGATTAAAGCTTTTGAAAATCATAAGCGTTTAAATTGTGCTTCTCATCTATTAAATACAGTATTGAGAAATACTTCTGATAACAAAAATATTGAATCTTGTTCGGAGATAAATCAATGTTTTAATGACTGTAAAAGTTTAGTAACGTATATGAAACAGAGTGGGTATGTTAAATTAACTTTTTATTAAAATATATCATTACATTTTAGATTAGTTAATCGCCTCGATAAAACTCTCCACGTGTGTGTTGAGACTAGGTGGAATATTAGGTTGAATATGATTGAATCGATCTTTAATCAATTTAATGACATATTGGAAATCCTCAATTCCAGAGGAGAGTCGATTAGACTTGAAAATATTGATTTTGAAATGATGAGGGATCTGATCAAGTTTCTGACGCCTTTTAAAATTGCGAGTGATGAACTTGAGAGTGATTTAAAACCTACTATTCACAAAGTTATTTTATGTTATCATAAAATATTGAGTTTTTTAGCTAATCCTAGCTATAACTATCAGCTAAACCAGCTTTCATTAAGATGCCGGGAAATATTGGTGGATAAATTTAAAATAGATTTATTCCACCAAATTTCGACGTTTTTGTGCCCATCGGGATATGAAAATGTTATCCCGGGAACATTATAAAGATTTGTGTCAACATATCAACACGTTGATTAATGCAGAGAAAATTAACAGAGATGTGATTGAGCAAAAGTCTTTAAACAACTCACCATCTAACTCGTGCTCAACCGATAGAGTAGTAAATAAAGGTTTATTAAATTAATAATAAAATTATTTATTAAAAAATAATAAAGTAAATATATATCTTAATATTATTAATGAATATTTTTTTCTTAAGAAACTATAAAGGTGGTAGATACGTTTTTGGACTTCTCTCTATGGGAGGCTGACAATGCGTATTCTGATGCTAGCGCCGAAGTTGACGAGCTAAAAAAATACCTAGATCCGAAATTATGTATTGATGACGATAATATTTTAAAATGGTGGAAAACAAACCATTATGAGTTTCCAAATTTAAGTATTTTAGCTCTTAAATTCCTGGCTATCCCTGCTTCGTCGGCTAGCAGTGAAAGGGCGTTTTCAGCTGCTGGTAGGGCCTTTGAGGAGAGAAGGACTCGTTTAAAGCCAGATAAACTGGACGCCTCTTTATTTATATATCATAATTATTCACTTTGTGATAATTTTGATAATGATATTGATGAGGTCAATATAATATAATATGTTCATTATATTTTTTATATATTTATTAACTTTTATATCCTATATTCGCATAAATGATGCTTATTATATTATATAATCGTTATAATTTTTAAATTCGCTTGTATATTAATCGTTTTATAATATTTTTTACAAATTTAATAAAATGCAACTTAATATATATCTTGAATAGATTATGGCCGTCAAATAAACTTTTATTTAAGGTGGCTGAACTGAATAAATACACATAAAAATTTTTTTGGTTATTATAATATTAAAACTTAAATTGCAAAATTTTATTCGGGTCGGGCTCGGGTTGCGAAAAAATTACTTTGCAGTTCTCTACATTAGGAAGCATATAATTATTAAAAAGTTTATCCAGCCCAGCTCAACCCTTAATAATTTGTTAAGGATATTCCCAGGTGCAAGCTAATATAAATTTTGAGGTTCCAAGCCCAGTCGTATCCATTATAATTTTGAAAAATTTTTCCCACCTCGGATATAGTTAAATTTTTAATTGATTTATCATCACATGAAGGGGGAATTATCTGATTTATTAATTAGTTTAAGATGTAAAAAAAACATGTGAATTCCGTATTAAGGGAAACTGGGAAGGCCTGGGCAAACCACTTATTAGAGAATCATAACAAATAAAATAAAATTAACCTACTCTTATACTTTTTGGTAATATAATAAATTATAATTATATATAAAAAATAAATTGTTGTTTATTATATAGGGTTATTGTAGCTTTTCAGATAAATTTAATGTATTTTTTGCATTTCCCAAATTATTTGTCTATATTTTATGTTAAGTAAAAAAAAAATGCTATCTAATTAAATAACAAAAATGCCATTGAACACTAATGAAACTTGTAAATTATATATCGTCGGTCTAGAATTGGAATGCTCCACTTGCGCAAAAGTTTAAAATGAGAAAATCAACATTAAAGTTTAAAATCAAATATAGGAAAAACTTATTGCTCAATTTAATTCAAAATTTCAGAGATAATTTATCATATTGTTAATTAATTATAGCCTAAAAAAATTTTAATCAAAAAATTTATTTGATAAAATCAAAATGCAAGTGAAGCAAATATAACACTTTATGATTTTTTTTTAATGTTATAAATGCGCGATTTACATTTTTTTAAATTTAATAAATAAATTAACACTATATCTTTATTTATTTTCTAATTTATTCTTACAATTAATAAAAATGGATATAATATAAATCTAATATTTAATTAATAATATTTTCCATATATTCTCTATCAACTCTTGGCATGAACTCTAACATTAATCTAATATCTTTTTTAGTTTCATCGTTTATTTTGCCATTCGTTTTCGGGATCAATTTAATATGCGAAAAATTTGTTGCAACTAATTCTTTGTCAAAATTAGGCCTACGTGTTTTTGAATCCTGTAAAATAGACACTTTAATCATATTATTAGATTTAAACGATAATCTATATTGCAAATAAAAAGGTTCAGTTTTTGAAATTTTTATTGATTTTAATTTAGTGAACGGTATGTGGTAAAATTTGAATTTTTTTCCGAAGCAGAATAAAAATCGAAATAATTATTTGAAGTCATTTCTTTTATGTTTATACACCCAAATATTTTATATCCCAATAAATTAGATTCTTTAATGCGGTAACTCTTTATTATTCTTCAATTAAAATATTTTAATTTATTTCCACTTTTAAAGACGCGTCAAAAAAAAATATAATTTACAATCCAAAATTCCAAATATAAAATTCCAAAAAAAAATATATAAAAAAAATTCCAATCCTTTTTTTTCTTTGTCTTTTATAGATTCACAAAAATAAATATATATTTATTAATAATAAAATAAAATAAATTAATTTCTAAAACAATGATGACTCATCCAAATACAATATTAATTTATATAGCGATGATTCATCAAAATTACAAATTTATTTTTAATCCTATGATTTGACAAATAATAAAACAGAATAATTTGATCATTAATAAAAATCTTACCCTTCTTGACAATTTCAATTACCTCAAATGGGTTTTTGCGATTAGTATCTCTTATTAATCTATAAAGAGTTAGAAGGCTATGGATCTCATTTTTTCTTAAGCATCTTTCTATTTGGCTATGTATTGAATCTACCTCTTGTAAAATCGAATGGCCTGGAGCACCATATTTGATTTGTATTGTTTCGATTTGACTGGTCGTGTTATTTGCTAAATAATGTTTTAAACCATAAATTATAATAGAATTTTTTATTTTGGGCGACACAGGAATCAGCCCACAGAATTAGATGAGGGATATTTGGAATTTTTTTTAATATCGCATCTACTAATGCTATCACACTGCAAGCTATGTCATTACCAGTTCTTCCGGTTTGGCCTTGATGCCAAATAGCACAATAACCACGTTTGTCTTGACTGCAATATGTAGTTTCATTATAAACAGATAATTTTCTTTTATAATAAAAGATCCAACCTCAGATCTTGGTAAGGTTATGACATTATGAAGGTCAAATGATATGACTAAAAAAATTTTTGACCTTGCTATGATTCTGTCCATACCTCTTTCAATACTCGTCTCAACATAATCGTCATGGTGCTTATTGTAGTTACAAATCTATTCTTCATTCATATATTTTTTATTAATTTAATACCGCTCACATTTATCGCACCTATCTTTTAGTGGTTTAGCAAATCCTATATTAAAACTATTTTTAAATATTGTTGTATAATAATGCGCCTTAACAGGAATTCTCGATAATTCATCACATTTTTAGAATATAGATCATAAAGTATTTTAAAATTGAGACTTCCATCAAAGTATTCCTTGGAAAAATCTTTTCGCCTGTAATGAGATTGGACCTTTGGAATGGAGTTTATGTGATCGATAATGAAATCTTTATCTTGATCAGAAATAACTTTTTTAGTATTTTTACCTTTTCTAGGAGCCAAATAAGTTCCAGTATTTTGGTATAAATGTTTAAAAAAATAACGTTTATTACTAATATCAAGTGTTTGTAAAAAAAATTGTTTGCAGACTCTAACTTTAACATTCTCCACTTCAAAAAAATATAAGTATGAATAGTTTTTATAATTTAAAGAATCTTTTATCCTTCTTTTACATGGAGTCCTAACAATAAATTTGCTATAGAAAGAACCTTTAGCTTCATCAGCTAAGCTCCAAAAAACCTCATGAATAATTTTACTCTGATCTTCATTAACTTTTAGATGACACTGAAATCTACATTTTTGAATGATCATTCTGAACCATCCTTGCTCTTTTCAATTCACCTTTGATATTGATGTAGGCCTCACCACATTCCCCTAGTCTTTTTCTTTCATTTGCTATGCTTCTAAAAATATTAAAAAATTATGATACATGTAAAACAATTATTTAATCAAATTTAATTTTATGTTATTTAAATTATGAGAAAGGTAATTCAGTAAAATTTTGAGAGTTGGTTCTTAGCCCTGTTTTTATGGTAATGCTTTATGATTTTTTTTTCATGTTTATTTAAAACTAGAAATTAAGGGTTTTATAAAATATATCAGGTTAAACCTAGTCACAACAATAATAACTTAGAAATAAGCAAATATGTGGATGAAGCCACAATTTGTAATAATACAAATCCATTAGACTGGTGGAAATTAAATAAAAATAGATATCCAATATTATCAAAAATTGCCAGAGATTATCTTGATTAAATAAATAAATTTTATATTTACATCACCTAATAAATTCCTAGTTTAAAAAAAAAATTGGATTCAGGAAAATTTTGAGAGTTGGTTCTTAGACCTGTTTTTATGGTAATGCTTCATGATTTTTTTCCATGTTTATTTAAAACTAGAAATTAAGGGTTTTATAAAATATATCAGGTTAAACCTAGTCACAACAATAATAACTTAGAAATAAGCAAATATGTGGATGAAGCCACAATTTGTAATAATACAAATCCATTAGACTGGTGGAAATTAAATAAAAATAGATATCCAAAATTATCAAAAATTGCCAGCTTGATTAAATAAAAAAAAATGAAATTTATTATATTAACAAACTAATACATAATAATTCAAATATTTAATTTATAATATGTAATAATATAAAATTTACCTACACATTAAAATAGGAATAGAGATAAATGTAATGAAAATTATACGATTCAATATGGAAAGCAAAAAATTAAAAAAGGAGGGAAATACAACACGTGATTAAATAAGATATAAATAAGTTATTATCCACTTCTAACTCAAAAATTTTGAAAATGTCGAGTGGAGCACTCCAATTCTATATATAAATATTGAAAATATTTTTTATTGACATATAAATTTAGGATAATTTTTTTAAAAAATAATGAGGAATAATTATTATGTTGTGTATTTGATAAAATTAAGAGCAAATCCTTGTTGACATTTTTATTTTTGATGGAAAAAGCGACAAAATAAATCTGGAAGGTTGCCTGGAAAGGAAATAATTAATGTACAATTTCATATCATTTAGGGTTGTAGATGAAAGTAATGACGGAACCAAAGCAGTGTACAAAACATAATACGTCCTGATAAAGATGAGTCATATGCCTATGCCTTGGGATACTGGTAAAAGAAGAACGCAAAATGTTATTTCTGTTAATGTCAGCATTGGTAGCCCCCTCTAAAATAGAATCATGAACGAAAATGTTAACTCAGCCATAAAAATGTAGTAAGAATTTATAAAGGCCATGACAGAATTACTGCATATTCTTCCATTAATAAAGTTGATGAAAATGGCCGTATTGCACATTCAGGTTTGAATATTCCTCTAAATAATCATGAAAGTTTCTCAGAGAATCAGATAAAGTACTATTTATAATAACTCCTAGTGAAGTGAATGATAGTACGGAATTGAATGCTTATATTTGTTAAAAAATAGGCAGATGTGGCATAGGGATTGTGGTAGTGGTAATAGAAATATCATTTGAAGGCAACTGGGTGAAAATAAAATAAACATATAAATATAAAACATAAGAAAAAAAAAATAAATAAACC